CTTCAATTTAAAGGTAACATTTCAAGTGACCCTTATAACAGTTTGAGTTCTTGGGATCCAAGTAGAAGCCATTGCCAAGATTATAAAGGGGTGTTTTGTAATTCAGATGGAAATGTGGCAAAAATTGTGTTGTGGAACACTAGTCTTGGTGGAGTTTTATCTCCTGCTTTATCTGGGTTGAAATCTTTGAGGATTATTACTTTATTTGGTAATAAATTCACTGGGAATATCCCATTGGAGTATGAAGAAATTGGTACATTGTGGAAAATTAACTTGAGCTCCAATGCATTATCCGGGTCAATCCCAGAATTTCTTGGGGATTTGCCTAACATAAGGTTTTTTGATTTATCAAGAAATGGGTATACTGGGGAGATTCCTTCAGCATTGTTCAAGAATTGTTACCAGACAAAGTTTGTTTCTTTGGCACATAACGATCTTTCGGGGTTGATTCCTATCTCAATTGGTAACTGTATGAATCTTGAAGGGATGGATTTGTCTTTTAATAGTCTCACTGGAGAATTGCCTTCAGAAATTTGTGACATTCCTGCTGTAGTTTACTTGTCAGTGAGGAGTAACAAGCTGTCAGGAAGTGTTCAAGAACATGTTTCAAAATGTGGAAGGTTAGAACTTTTGGATCTCGCTAGCAATAGGTTTACTGACTCTGGTCCTTTTGGGGTCCTTGGGTTGGCAAATCTTACTTATTTCAATATTTCATGGAATGGGTTTCGGGGAGAGATACCTGACACTGGATCTTGCAGTAGCAGATTGGAAGTTTTTGATGTTTCTGGGAATGATTTCTACGGTAAAATTCCATCTGGCATCACAGAATGCAGTCGCCTGAAGTATTTAGATTTGGGATTTAACAGGCTTGATGGAAGTATACCCGTTGGAATTGCTGACTTGAAGAGTCTCTTGTTTATTCGATTAGCAAATAACTCGATAGATGGGACAATTCCTTCAGAGTTTGGGAGTATTGAATGGCTTGAAGTTCTGGATTTGCAGAATCTCAAAATCAGTGGTGAAATCCCAGCAGAGATAAGCAAATGCCGGTTTCTTCTTGAGCTGTGAGTCCAATAACCATCTCCCACTTTTACGTACACGTCAACATTTCTTTCAATTGTACTAATGAAACTATAAATTTATCACGCAGGGATGTTTCGGGCAATTCTTTAGCGGGAGAAATTCCAGAAAACCTCGTGAAGATAGCCCCCCTTAAAATTCTTGACCTGCATCATAACAAGTTCAGCGGAATTATACCAAAAACCATTGGAAATTTATCTAACCTACATTATTTGGATTTGTCAGAAAACTTGCTATCTGGTTCCATCCCTTTGACATTTGGGAATTTGAAAAATTTAACTCATTTCAACGTTTCTTACAACAACCTTTCTGGTACCATTCCCTCAATTCCTAGCATCCAGCATTTTGGATTCTCGGCCTTTTTTCACAATCAAGGTCTTTGTGGTGCTCCATTGGAAAACTCCTGTTCTGGTACTGCACGGAAACCGAAATTGAGTGTTTCTACTATTGTTGCTATAGTTGCCGCTGCTTTGATTGTTACCGGTGTTTGTGTGATAACCCTCATCAACATGAAGGCTCGGGGGACTAGAAGAGAAGAGAAGACTATGGTTGTAGAAAGCACCCCATTAGCTTCAACAGAATCAAATTTCATAATTGGAAAATTAGTCCTCTTCGGTAAAAGTTTACCCTCAAAGTACGAGGATTGGGAAACCGGCACCAAAGCTTTACTTGACAAGGAATGCCTAATTGGCGGAGGTTCTATTGGAACAGTGTACAAAACTACCTTCAATGATGGAATATCAATTGCAGTGAAGAAACTTGAGACTCTGGGAAGAATCAGGAACCAAGATGAGTTCGAGCACGAAATTGGACATTTGGCGAATCTCCAACACCCCAATCTTGTTGCTTTTCAAGGTTATTATTGGTCATCTAGTATGCAGTTGATTTTATTTGAATTTGTCTCTAATGGAAATCTGTATGATAATTTGCATGGAATTAATTATCCTGGTACCAGCACTGGTGTTGGTAATCCGGAATTGAATTGGCCAAGAAGGTTTCAGATAGCATTAGGGACTGCCAAAGCACTAGCCTACCTTCACCATGACTGCAAACCCCGGGTTCTTCATCTCAACGTCAAGTCTACAAATATACTACTGGACAAAAACTACACGGCCAAACTATCAGATTACGGTTTGGGGAAGTTGCTTCCCTTGCTAGACAATCACGGTTTGACAAAAATCCACAATGCAGTTGGATATATTGCACCCGAGTTGGCACAAAGTTCACAGCTCAGCGAGAAATGTGACATTTATAGTTTTGGGGTGATTCTACTGGAGTTAGTTACAGGGAGGAAGCCGGTGGAAAGTCCCTCAACAAGTGAGGTGGTGATTTTGTGTGAATATGTTAGGGGTTTGATCGAGAGGGGCTCTTCTTCAGGCTGTTTCGACAGAAGGTTGAGAGGATTTGCAGAAAATGAGCTTATTCAGGTCATGAAGTTGGGGTTGATATGTACTTCTGAAGTTCCTTCAAGGAGACCAAGCATGGCTGAGGTTGTTCAGGTTCTTGAATCCATAAGAAATGGTTATAATTATTGATTCCAAGATTTTAGTTTCTCAGGTACAAAGTCCCATAATATTCTTTCATATTTATTCTGGATTAGAATCATCAATTGGTTCTTATGATGGCAATAAAATTATTTCATTTTTTGCAACTTCAAGAAACAATTACTCTATGTTAGAAACGTCATACAACTTGGCAACAAAAATGAGGAGGATCAAATGAGCGATAAGGAGACCAGAAAATTTTGGAGTGATAAGATTGTCAAGTTCAAACCAAAGGATAAATACAAAGTTGTTAATTTGTTATTTAATAGTTGTTATTTATTTTTTGGATAAACACTAACTATAGTGAGTTGTTGAACTTATTTTATTATATATAAGAATAAATGTGTGCTAGATGCTCATGACCTATGATCATGAATTAATAATGTTATAATCAAGTCTTTTATTCATTTTTAAAGTTCTTTTCATATTTTCTTTTTGGTATCAGAGCCATTGTGAGCACTCGGCACACTAGAAGTCTTCTCTTCCACTATCACTTTGCTATTCGTAAATATTAACAATTGACAACTTCTTTAACTCATTTATATCTCATTAATTCTCGTCCATCAAATACATCCCACCAAATCCAAACAAAATAAAAACAAAAAATTTCATACCAAAACTGACAAATGAGTTAAAGGTTGATCATTTCACCAATGAAGACCTTGTCCCCACCAAATATATCACATCACATCAAATCCAAACAATACAAAAACAAAAAGAAGATTCACACCAAAATTAACAAATGAACTCATTGCCTGGTGAAAGTTCTCTCATTCATGGTTGGATCAACACAATAGACTTAGACACAACCCATGCAATATGGAAAACACTTGAAATGCTTATATACATATGTGACATATTTTCGCAAGAGTGAAGATAAAAATCATTGCTTAATTTTTCGAACGAAACAATGCCTTTAGTTCCAGCACAGTTTGCGGGAGGATGTTAGAAACGTCATACAACTTGGCAATAGAAATGATGAGGATTAAATGAGTGATAAGGAGACCAAAAATTTTTGGAGTGATAAGAATATCAAATTCAAACTAAAGAATAAATACAAAGTTATTAATTTGTTATTTGATAGTTGTTATTTATTTTTTGGATAAACACTAGTTATAGAGAGTTGTTGAGCTTATTTTATTATAAATATGAATAAATGAGTGTTAGGTGCTCATGACCTATGGTCATTAGTCAATAATGTTATAATCGAGTCTTTTATTCATTTTTAAAGGTATTTTCAGATTTTCTTCTCTCTAACCCACATTCAGAAAAGAAAAGAATTCTTTGAGATCAAGTGTTCTTGTTTCTATCCTTGATACTTGCTCATGTATCAGAGAGAATAAAAAACAGGGATCCTTCAGGCAGGGGAAAGATGCTACTATCACAATTTTTCCTAGTTATTAATTCTCTGTAGCAACTAATGTTTCGAGAATTGAACTGAACTGGACGGTTTACAGGAAAAAGAAAATGAAAATCGTTTTACACAATTCAACTTTGACATATACTGTGCTATGTTGTTACAAATACTGCTGCCATGCAGAACTGGATTTTTTTTTTGATACAATTTTTAATTTTATACAGATGAAAATTAACTTAAATTTGTTTATGTTATATAATATATTTACATATTGTTTTATGAACTATTTTTGACCATTACTTCTTCGGGTGTAAGATCCCCCAGACTTTCAAGTAATTCTGCAAAAAAGAAAAAAGAACCAGGAACTGAATTTTCTTAAATATCACTTTCTGCTTGCTCTTGCACCAGTTGTGTATGGTCCTTCTACCATCATAAGACCCAAGGCACGTATTATCCTTAAATATGGTAACATGATGAAGGGAGGGAAGGGATGGGCTGGGGGACCTTCTTCTTTTTCTCAAAACTTCTTTCGTTTCTTGTTATCTCAAATGAAGATGTACTAATTTCATTAAGTGATAATGAATCCCATTCAGATCTTGCATCTGATATATGGAATTGCTTGATGTGCAAAAACAGCAGTGGTGTTGAATGTTGTGACTACTAAAGTACTGATATTCTGATGATCGAATATATGGAACAGAGAAAAAAGTACACGAAAACAATTGTAATATTATGAAGTAAGCAAAGAAATTGCAATTTTATTTTAATCCTGCCTATATGATCATTCACTTGAATAAACCATAAGAGAAGGTATATATTATGTTTTTCGACTTGTTACTAAACTTGTTGAAATGAAATATAACAAATAATAATCCTCTCGACCCTGTTACTGATCATTGTCAAAATGACTGCTGTTTAACTTTATTATCTTTAATGTTGGGGGATTCTAATAATACATTATATGACTTGCTGACTTGATTATAAACTTCATATTATGTCTTCTACCTACATGGTTGTCTTTATTTTTCCCCATCACTATCTTTATCCGCTGAATTATGCCTTCTCATACTCGTAACAAATGACAGAGGCGACTGCTTTGTCCAGCGTCTTATGTCGTACGCCTTCTTCAATGGTTTCTTCTCCTTCCCTTGTCTTCTCTTTGTTATTGCTATTGCGAGGTCGTTAGGGAACAATGTATGCCAAACGAAGGCGTGAAGAAGAGTGGACATGAATATTATGGCCACCATTGTTGTTGACATGAAGGAGAGGGCCACAGCAAGACCCTTGCTTATTACAGTAGGCACTTCCTCTGCATACTTGATAGTTGCTATTGAAGCTGTTGTCATGGGGAAAGTGTAAGACCACCATGCCACAGAAAACCTGAAAAATAAAAAAAATGGTTAGAAAAATTAATATGAGTTTATTTTTTTTTCTCTGCAAATATTATCTTCATGTATATGCTGTTGATGCTCGGAGTTCTAACTTTTTTTGGTAGTGCTTATAAGCTATGAGTCCTACATATTGTGTGCATAATAAGTGGTTAGTAAGTTGTAGGTCCCATGAAATATGTGAATAATAAGTATGTTTGAATGGCTTAAATAATTTAAGCTTTGCTATACATACTAGTTGATGCAAACCTGATCCTACTGTTTCAGAGGTGCCACAGGCGGAGATACCTGTCTTCAAATAAGAAAGAATTCAGATAAAAAAAGGTAAATTACCTGAATCCTCTGAAGAAGTTGATACGTACAACCAGCGATGAATAGAGAAATAATGCAATGAAATAGCATGTCCTCGCCAAGCCATCGAATTCTCCATAAATAGCTCCCCAAGCAATGCTTGCTGCAGCAGGAGTTGCAATGAACATGGAGTATACAGGGTGAAGTTCCTTGGGCAAAGCTTCACTTGTGGGCAGTCTCTGATATAATGTGACAAATACTACAAGATAATGTGCAAATCCAATTGCCCACAAAAATTTTCCTGCTTCTTTCCACCCAACTTTTGCTGCCAAAATTGCTCCTACAAAATTCCCAACTACTGAAAGATGAGAAGATGGATTTGCAACTTTGCAAAGTCTTCGTTTTCCTCCAGAAAGCCACTGTCCGTAGATTTTTAGGTCGAGGAAGATGATTGGTGTCATGAAGGTGACCCAAATAGCTGGATTCAACGTTTCTGGAGAGATCGCTGGTGGTGCTCCAATGGCTAAGAACATGCAAACAACCCAAGGGGCGAAGAAGAAGTTGACTCTAACGGGGTGGAAGTATTCTCTTTTCACAGCTTCAAAATAGAATATGCATTTCAATGCATAGGTTATGAAAACTGCAAGAAGGACACTTAAGGCTAACAGCCAGATTGCTAGATTGATGAAGGGTGTAATGTGGAGGAATTTGGTGGCTGGACTCGTAGAGAGGGCACGCCAAAGGATGGCTTGGCTACTAAGGCCTAGGCACATACCGAAGCAACCTATGGGGAACCGGAGAAGGAAGGGCCATTTCTCGTCTTTGGGCAGAAGTATGTCTTCTGAATCCTGCAAGAAAATTCATCTCTGAGACTTTAATTATGAATATTTTGTTTATTATACTCTGGAGTCTTGTTTAATACTGCATATACGTACCTTGACTTGATCGAGTTCTGGTCCTGTAAGAGCAGCAAAATATCTTCCAGCAGGAACACTTCTGTTAACAGACTCATCAAGCTCACCTGCAGAAACATCGTTAATCTGAGGTTCAACCCCACTCTCCTTTCTCAATGGTAATTTTGAGTTCTGTCTAACAAGAGCAGATTTTGTCCTGAATATATTGAAGTCTCCTTTTCTTCCTTCTATGCCAACTCCATGAGATGAACCAAATCCTCCAAAACTTTTTCCACTTCTTGGAAGAGCTTTTCTTTCATTTTTTTCTTTTGACTCTCTGTTGAGCACCGAAAAGCCCGTCTCCAACGAGACTTGCCTGCTGAAACTCTTATGTTGTCTCTTCATTTCTCGCATTTTGATTGGTTTATTGTTAACATTCTTGTCTGTTTTATGATCAGCCATTTTTCTGATCTTATTTTCTTCGTGTCCTTCTTCTTCTTCTTCTTCAGGTAACACTTCATGGATATCGACAAAATGTGTGTTGAGAGATCTAGGAGAGGTTGCTCCGAAGTTCATTTTGCTTATCTATGGTTTAGAAATGTTCGAGTTTAATAATACTTGATGTTAAATAAATTTACGCACTTTTGTATTATTTTCTTATATGAGTAAGACAGGATCACGAGAATATTGAAGGACGTAAATAACTACTTTAAATGGTGGTGGTTGTCTGTTTAGTAGATTGAACAGAAACCATTGCTTTTTACTGCAAAAAGTGGCACTTTGAAGAGGTTTCTCGTGAGATATAAACAAAATCTGTGGTTTAAAGTGTTAATTATACCAACTTGGAAGAAATAATTTTATGACACAAATTGAGAAACTAGGTATCATAATATCACGGATCCTAAAGACTAAGTAGCCAACTTGACAAGGAATGGATGGCGAGCTTGATGTTCACCAATTAATTTCTCGACTCAAAATGAGGCTATGTGGTGGCGGACCAGACACTGAGTTGGGGGCACCATCAAACTTGTAAAAAAATTGTGAAAACCAAGCTTAACATATATTACTACTTTCAATATCCATTTTTAGGCTTGAAACTAGAAACATAGTAGCTCATAAAAAAAAATAAATCAAACTGCTACATGAAAAATATTTGTTCGAAAAGATGAAATTATAGTGAATCAATTCCGGGTCAACTGCTAGTAGGAACTTCAACTTATCTTGCCATCTCGTGAAGTTCGAGCTATCAAAACGATCCAACCAATCAAGGTTTTGTTTCATCAACTTGATCGTCGCAATAGTGCTTTCATTCTCGATTGCAGAATAAATATAGTTTGAGATTGTTGCCTATTATTGCTTCCATAAGGAGGGATTGGAGATGAAAGTAAAGAACAAAAAACCAAAAAAATAGAGAAAACAAAAGGAAGATCAAAGAAGAGATGAAAATAAGGCTCGAACACGAAAACCTTGTCCTCAAACTATATTTGTCCCATCTTGAATTGAAAATGATGCTTAAATGGATTTTGACAACTCGTTTGCAGGATTAATTAAGCCTTGTAAATGATTTGACACTTAAACACTAGTGACAATCTTTCAAAACTTGAAGAACACAAAAAATGGAAATGTTGAATATTTAAGAAGGGATCTTTGATTTCAATGACGTGTGGAATAAAATATGTTTTTATGAATGATTTTCATCATCATGCATTTGAACATTGATCACCTATATATAGGTCTCAATAGTCTTCCACGAAATGGTGCCAAAATCAAATGAAAAGCTACCAAAATTCAAATAGCAACGACCATAAAACAGCTAACTGGTTGTTCTATGCTACCACATAGAAAAAACCTATGCGGTCACATAGAACAACCAGTTGCAAGGAATTTAATCCCGACAACAGCCTATGAGACCGCATAGGCCAAAATAAAGGCCTCCGGTTCCATCACATCCCATTTTATTTATTTTGAACAAATATTTACAACAGATGCTTCCTAAGTTTGAGAGTGTCAACCTCAAGCTTCACCTAGAATAATAAACCCCATTAGAAACTTATGAATATAATTAAGTATTAAAGACTTAGCCAAATAGAAACGGTGCTTATAATTATATTTTTCATCGCCTCACACAATTTGAAGTGTTTTTCTTTTCTTTTATTTTTTATTGTGTCCTTCATCCTATGTTTTGGATACTTTTGTGGTTTTCGAATATAGTTTTTACTGTATATTGTATGCATTCTTCTTTCCCACGTAGATAGTCTTCTATATATTTTTGATGAATAAGATCAAATTACTTAATGATAGTTTCATATATGCCTGTTTGGGCAGGATTAAGATCTGATTTTAATCTAGATCAAAGTCAAACAATCAATATTAAGTTATTAACCACACTTTTGTAGATCCCACATCTTTTTAACCATACACTTCAAAAACTTCTATCACAATCCACTAAAATTTTATTTTTAATCCCCATGAACTAGTTTTTCTTACTTGTCATAACTAATGCAATACCTTTTTTTCTCGGGACAAGTAATTGGAGACAAAGCCATAGTATTTTGTTACTACGTAGGTTCCACATGTTACTCAAAAACACTCCACACAAGAAGCAAAAAATTAATACCTATTTAAATAGCTCTCAACACAAAACATATCAATCACCTCTAAACTAATAAATATCTTGTAGGGACATATTAAGAGGCAAATCCTACATTTGTTAAAAGCAATAATATAGAACAAAATATAAGGATTTAGTTATTCCTCTTAACATTGTTGACCTTTTAAAATGGAACTCAAGTTTCAAAAGTTACAAGTAACAATTTTATCATTAATCTTAAAAAATTTAATTACAACAAAGGTCAAAATCTGCCTCGACCATAAGCTAATTACAAAAGAAAAGGAAAATACAAAACAAAATAGGTTGAGCATGCATATTTAATTCATTCCCCTTACATCGTACACATACAAACTTTCGAAGTGTTTGTACTAGGAAATAAAATAATCTTCGTATAAGGAAATAAGTACACATACAAGTAAATAGTACAAACGCAGTACAAGGAATTCATAAAACTGTACAAGTGACAATAAATACGAGCATGGCTTAAATGGGGAAGAATTTATGTCCAAATATGCTCTCAAAAGATGTTTTTCTAAGAACACGTGCAAGGTGATCATGAGTGAAACATGAGAGACCACCAAGGAGCCATTGGCAACTTCATCCTGCACCAAATGATGATAGAAAGTAATCATTATGCTTTATGCGGGGAGTGGAACGCCTAAGTCGAATAAACAAAAGGGACACCATTATCACACAAAAGGGCGAGTAGCCTGGATAGACAAACTAAGTTAGCTAAGAGGTTGCTAATCCAGGAGAGTTCAGTTGTCGTGGAAGCACGAAGCAATGTCTAGCTTCTGTATGTCAGGCCAGGGGCGGACCCAGACCATTTTTACTGTGGGGTCAAAAATTAAAGACGCTCGAGTGAAACTCAGGCGTTCCAAGGACAATAAATTTTAGTCATTGGTGCTCGATCGTGCCTTGCCTTACACCCCAACTTTCTATTATGTCAAACACTGACATGACATATACATGAGTTTTTCAAAAGCTAAAGATGAATAAACACGATAAAATATAACTCGTTGAATAAATCGGAGCATGAAATTTTCGAAAAAAAAAAATTTACCTAATAATTTCCAATACATGAACAACAACGAACATGTTAGTCATTGCAATAAGTCGGTTGGATTTTTCAAGTGAAAGAAGAATATTGTCATCAACGATGATCCCAAATGTGTGATATCTAATGAATGCTACAACTACAAGAAAATAACAAATTGCAACAACATATGCAAATATTTAGGGGTGGAACTAGGAATATTGTTCAGTGTAGATGAAATTTAATCGAGGTCGGAGTTTTTGGGGGCTTGAAACGTCCATTAAATTTGGGCCATTAAATTAAAGTATGCAATATGTATTCATATTTTTCTTAACTAACTAATCTATGAGCTTAAAACTCAATAAACCAATAAAAAAAATGAAATATTCAATCTCAAATAAAGTTCGACCATAAATTTAATGATGGTAAAAATATAAAACAATATTATGATAAATGACATAGTTTATAAGACCAAATTGTTGAACAAAATTTGAATTTATATAATGTTTACACACCACTTAATTGATTAAATAATATAATATTCTCACTTAATGGACTATTTCTCTCCACGTACTATTTATCTCACAAGTTATGACTACAAAAAATAAAAATAAAAATTCTCAAATTATTTGTGGGGTCATTTGACCCCACATGAACCCTTGTGGGTCTGCCCGTGTCAGGCAATCATCTGTTTCTTTTTATAGCACCAAGGGATGGTGTTGGAGTCAAGAAAGTTGACATGTACAAAAATATAGGTGCAACAATCTTGATTACCTGCTGAATCTGCATCAGTATATGCAATAAGATTAAGAGAAAGAGGAGCTAACAATGAATAATCCATTGTTAATTGTATNNNNTTTTTTTTTATTCATCCTCTAATGAAACGATTGATCATGACGTTATTATTCTCTGATTTTTTCCCCCGTTTCATATATGCACTAAAGGAATTATGATTATCTTAAAATAATTATTTTTCTATATATCATCAAATTTATCATATATTTAATTAAGATTTTGCAACTTTTCAACAAAATATTAAGCACCAATATTTGTAAAATTTTTAGTATGTTGTCCGAGAAGATATTTACAAAGAAATATATTCTGAGTTAACAAAGATCCTGAATCACATTTGCAGATCAACATTCGTCGACTATGGATGCTAGTTGGGGGACCTTAGGCATCAAAATTATGATTAAGGCTAACTTTAGCAGTCTGTTACTAAATGATTTCTTGACTTTGACTAGAAAAGAGTGAGTTATAGCACAACTAAGCTACTTTAATTTCTAGGTATCATATTGTTTGACCAAGTCTCATAAAAGACATCTTGGACAGCTCCATCCAATTACGTTGAGTAATGCCATATTACATTGTTCGGGGAAATGTCTTGGAGCATAACACTATGACAGCCGCTGTTAGCCGGCTGGTATTTTAACCTTATTGATACTATAAATGCAATAACGTTTAAGCACCATGAAAGCATCCTTTATCACTAACAAACACAAGAAAATTAGCTAGGAAATCTTTTCTGGTAAATTAAGGTTTCAAAATGGCTTCGAAAGCTTTCTTGATCGCAGTTTTCTTTGCAATGATTGCTACTTCAACTATGGCAACCAATTATACGGTTGGAGACAACGCTGGCTGGAAAGTGGGTGTCAATTACACTGAATGGGTTGCAGACAAAACGTTCTACGTTGGAGACACACTGAGTATGTTAACTCTCCTGTTCTGTGCCCCTTATCCCCCACCCTACTTTTCCAATTTTTTATGCAAGCCAATTTTATTATTAATAAATTCATCTCTGATACCACATTATTTGATGTTCGTAGTGATGCACTCCCTCATTGATTTTTAATCTTGTTTTGGGTGCAGTGTTTATGTACAATAAGGGATCTCACGATGTTTTGAAAGTGAATGGACCTGACTTCCAACAGTGTTTGAAATCAAATACAACTGGTCTTCTGGTTAGCGGAAATGACGTAATTACCCTTGCGAAACCAGGGAAGAAGTGGTACATTTGTACGGTTGCGGATCACTGCACGAAGGGGATGAAGCTTGTGATCAATGTATTAGAAGCAGCTACAACAGCACCCACTCCTTTACCTCCTCAAACACTGGGATCTTCAGGAGCCTATGAAATCTCTTCCTTCAAATCTTTTGGGTGGATTCTTGCAGCATTGGCTGTTTTTAAGATAATCCTGGCTTAACATATATATGCTGTCCACCTCTTAATTTTCAGGCTGTCATTCATTTTCTAATTCTGTGTTGTGTGATATTAAATAAAGTTTTACTATTTTGTTTTTTTTCTTTTGTCACATTCATTTAAACATATATGTTGTTACTGTATTGATGAGATTAAAATTTGAAGTTTAGAAATGCATATATAGTGTGCTCCGAATGTATTGGTTTAGACAATCGTGACCATAAGCCTTCACAATGTCAAGTTCATTTCGATCGAATCAGGAAGACAAGATCTCAGTTGTCATACGTACAGATTTTTGGCTAGAAATAAGGCGAGAACTAAAGTCCTTGATGCATTCATTATCCTCCAGCGTCGCCGATGCAACAAGGTTTTTGTTGAATTAGCTATCCTCACCTTCAAACTAACATTGCCACCTTCATCTCTCATTCTTCTTCTCAGAGGTGGCTCATAAGATTTGGGGGCAAAAACCATCAAGAGGGCAACTTCAAGAACAACAATAAGATAAATTAATAGAGTAATTAAATACTGACGAAAATTCTGATTGAAGTCAATATATGTTGATGATTCACGCTGAAATACTGATAGCAATATCGTATTGGTCGAGTTTTGGTGGGCTGAAAACTGGGATTATGAAACGATTCAATCCAGATAATGGATTTGGCTTCATTCATCAAGATGAAGGGTGCAGAGACTTGTTTTTCCACATATCAGAGCTAATGGTTCCAAGATTTGATTTAGTGGAGTGCGGATGCATTGTGTTTTATTGTTCATATTTAAGACTTATGTATTGAATGCTATAGCTAGAGGTACCATTTAACAGATTCTATTTATTGTTCATATTTAAGAAATTAGTTAACTTGAAGAAGTACAAAATTGGAACTGATGCTGATAAAACTGAGAAAAATCTAATAACAAGTGCTTTATTTTTTTATTTATGAAACCAAAGACAAAATTGGTGAACTTTCTTCAGAATCTTTAACTATTTGAATTATGAAACTTTCAGATAAATAACTTTGTTAATTTAAGCGATATTACATGTAGCAGAATATGCTACGGGCAAGATTTTTACAAATATAAGACTAGCGTCAAATTAAAAGATTTAAAAATCTCGAGTAGACCAGCGTTGACTTAAAAATTGAAAAGGCAAAAAAAAGGAAAAAAGAAAAACTGCTGGGAAATACATTTGATTCACAGGAGAAACAAATAAACCTTAATTTTATCACCTTTATACTGTTTTAACCAATAAGTCTATCCATATCAGCCAAATTAGACAACACCATACCATTTTATTTTGGATCCAAAAACTATGACAGCCTCTGTTAGTCGGCTACTCTAGTATTTTATGTACCAACGAGATCATAAATACACTTGGCCAACATTTGAGCCTCAATCTTTAAAATTCATTTTCAATTACATATTTTCTCAATAAAATAATTTTGCACATAATCCTAAAACTTTTCTCTACTTTTAACTACATGTTCTTCAAAAAAAAAAAAAAAGGGGTTCTTTTTAAAAACATATTTTAAAAAAATGGAACTCAAACTGGAGGTTAATGTGCCAACACCGTGAAAGCATATCCTCTATCATTAGCAAATTACAAGACAATGAAAGTAATAACGAAAGCTTTCCAAGTAAATTAAGGTTTCAAAATGACCTCGAGAGCTTTCTTGGTCACAGTTCTTGTTGTAATCGTACTATGGTTGGAGATGATGTAGAAAGTGGGTGTCAATTACACCGAATGGACTGTTGGAAATATGTTTTATGTCGGAGTTGCACAATATATTAAATAACTTTGTTTTGAGCTGTACTTATTTAGAAAAATTGTGCACGTGTTAGACATTTGATCAAAATATTAATCTTGCATATATATAAGGAAGCATGTTGAAAATAATATTTAATGAATAAATGTAATTGAATACAGATATATATATATATGTACACAATGACAGGGGTGGAGCCTGGAATGAATGGTACGGGGGGCAAATTTTTTTAAAATTTAATATACAAATAAAATTTATATATACCAAGAAAAATTGTAATATAATGTTACCTATTACAGTTGTACCCGACTATGTTTTATAATATAAAATTCATCTATAATAGAATCTAGGTCTAAATTCATACTAAATTCTCGTTTAATGTTTAGTGTTAAACAATCGACAAAAAAATTATCATTCATTTTGTTACGAATTTCCATCTTCACATGTTTCATTGTTGAAAATGCTCGCTCCACAGTCACTGTTGAAACTGGTAGTATCAATACTAAACAAATCAACCTAGTCAAAATGACGTAACCTTCCGACCTTCTACTTGCAATCAATTCCTGACATAAATCAGAAAGTGTAGGCAC